ATTTAACATTATGCTACATGTCTGTAGTTCATTATTAGTTTTTGACAGGTGTGTGAGGACGGACTGCTTGTGCTGAGCTGCTGCACGACTGTAAGATCACAGTTCACATGTTTACAGCACACACACACACACACACACACACTGTGTTTGCTGCAGCCCACTGCCTCACTAGAGACACCCACACTCCGCCAGAGGGATTGTCTCTGCTGAGAACTTCTATTAATAGAGTCTACTGCCGACCATCCTCTTCTCTCCTCTCCTCCCTATCGGTTGCTCCTCTTTTCTCAGGTCTTATTGCTCTGTCCCTCTCCGTCTCTGCACATTCTGTCTTCTCTTTCATTTTCTGTCCCTCCTCGTCCGGATCCCTCCTTTAAACCCCTCAGAGAGTGTGTGACCTTTGCACAGTGTGAGGGTCATTCTACAAAACGTGTGCCTTATCAACATATGTGTAAATAATGGATTTAACAGTGCATTTTGCTGTGCGCTGGTAAAAAACAAAATGTGTCAGCATAAATCAGTAACCCTTTAAAAAAATATATTTTTTCTTTCCTTGTCTTGTTTTTTTTTTCATGCAGATTTTTGGCCTGACGTAATGCACATACAGTAAATACTTTTTTTTAAAGGTTTTAGTTGATAATATATTGTTAAAAGACTTGAATTTATGACTTGAAGTTATAAATTTATGCTATAAATAAATAATTTGAAATATTTTTTATTTCTAATATAACTGGATAAAATATTAAAATTACGTGTGTGTGTGTGTATAATCTATTTATATATATATATAATCTATTAATTTTACATAATATATTTATAGGGTAGTGTATATTAAAATAGTATTATAAGATATGGTTAATAAACATTATGTAAATAAATATATATAATATTTATATGCATAATATTTATTAGCTGTATAAAAATCTCATGCTTCATATTTTAGATATTTTAATTTTATTTATGCATTTAATTTATATATTCAAATATAGTTTTTTTCATATTTTTCATCATTGCATCACATTATCTCATCAAGGACGACAGTAGGTTTATTTTTGTTAGATTTGTCAGAAGATCTCAGACTTTTAAACCCATTTTCATGTTTTTTGTATAGTAAACAGCTGGTAAAAGTAAGACGGGCATTTGTAGAAATATCAGAATGGAATAATTTTTCTAATAAACATCTTGAAGTGTCATGACCTTGAACTGAAGGCATCCTTTTAGGCATCCATTAACTCCTTAAAATACCATTAAGATGAAACAAGGCCATTTAAAATGTAAAGACATTCTGTCTAATATAAAAGTAAATATTTGATTTACTCTTTCAATTTTGGAAATGGAAAAGGATAGGGCGGGAGGTCATCGCTCACGACTGACTGGCCTTTTCATTTGAAGGAATGGAACTTTTCTCTCGCTCTATTTCTGTCTCTATCTGTTGATCTCCTGACAGAGTCCCGGGAGGACGCTGCTGTGAGCCATGTGTGTGAGTGTGTGTGTGTGTGAGAGAGTGTGTGTG